TAAAGGATTAAAAATGGCAGATTAATATCCTCTCACAAGACTGTAAAGTAATTAAACAAAAGCATTCTACTGTCTGAATGTTAGTCAAAGTAGGCAGAAAGTACAATTCGTTTAAGTGTTGTTGATATGCTGAACCTCAGCAGAGATACAGTGAAGAGCAAACTGGATGAAACCAAAGGTAGTTTGAGATTATTTAAATATGGGCAATTCTACCCCAGGCAAAGCGAGACAGTGGGTTAGATGTATTACGAAAGGACAGCTATTTAATTTTTTATTATATGGTATATGTTGCTGGGGCTTTCTGCCACAGGTGCCAAAATAGCTTGACCAGTCTTGAGTCTTCATGCCTTGCTGAATAATAGTGAGGGAAGCATTTGTTGCTCTGCTTCAGGAAGCAAAACACTGTAATCTGGCTCTAAGAGTTGTCCTCTGTCATGTGCTTGCCACTAACTTATTTTCTGCTGAGCACTGATATAGGGAGCTGTTGTACATGTAAAGAGAGAAAATTGAAAGCATGATAGCTTCAGACCAGGAATATTTGATGAATGATATGGTGTAGTTTGGTTTTTGGGGGAATTTACCAATTTGTTATACCTTTACCCTAAAAAAAAACAAAACAAAACCTAGACTAGATCATAGCATCAGAAGAAACTGGTATTACAATGGAGAACGTACAAGGGCTATAGAGATACAAAAGGGTACAAGGCAAGGATGCCCGTTGTCACCCCTATTGTTCATTTTGACTTTAGAGGTTTTAAATAGAATTGTTAGGGATGACGAGAACATTAAGGATACTAAAATTAGAGACAAAAATTATACATTGCAAGCATTCGCAGATGATTTGGTCTTCATAACAGAGGAACCTTTTGTAACAATCCCTAAACTTTTACAACGGATTGAAGAATATGGTGAGGTTACGGGAATGAAAATAAATAAAGAAAAAACGAAACTTTTAGTTAAAAATCTTACGCAAGATCAGAAAAAAAGACTCCAAGAACAAGTGGATTAGCAGATTGTTAAAAAGGTTAAATACTTGAGAATCTATCTTACAGCTAAATGCACAACTTTGAAAGAAGACAATTATGATAAATTATTGAACGGTATTAAAGGTGACCTGGAAAAATGGGCCAATTTTCAATTGTCTTTGATGGGAAGAATAGCACTTGTTAAAATGAACATACTACCAAAACTTTTGTTTTTGTTCCAAATGATTCCTGTAAAAATTGATTAAAATTTTTTTGAGGATTTAAATCTTCAAATTTCAAGATTTATTTGGAGAAAAAAGAAATCAAGGATTAAATTAAAAATGCTTCAAGAAACCAAAAAGAACGGGGGTTTTGGTCTTCCTGATTGGATGTTGTATTATCAAGCATCTATTTTAACTTGGCTAAAAGAATGGATAACTTTGCGGAATAAGAGAATTTTGTATCTTGAAGGTCATGATTTGCAAATGTGTTGGCATGCTTATATGTGGTATGAGAAGGTTAAGTCTCATGGGACTTTTTAAAGTCACTTTATTAGAAGATCATTAATGTCAGTGTGAGAAAAGTTAAAGTCAAAATTGCATAATGGAAGCCTTTGGCTTTCACCAATGGAAGCCTTTGTGTATCCAAATATATTGAACTTTCAACGGATCATAAGATATGATGATATTTTGGACAAGGATGGAGGCCTGAAACTAGATCAAGAAATACAAGAACAGGGACTCAGCATCTCTTGGTGGTATAAGGTGCATATGCAATCAAGATATGCTAAAGATTGTAAAATATGGGGGTTTTATAAAGACCCAACAGCCTTTGATCAAGTGATGCTAAAAACAGATGAGAAAATGATCAAAAGAATTTATGAGTTCTTATTTGACAGGAAGATGGAAGGGGAACAGGTTAAGGAAACTATGATAACATGGGCGCAACATTTTGGATATAATATTGAATTAGAAAAGTGGCAAAAGCTATGGGAAAGAAACATTAAGGTAACTTTAGCAACTTCGTATAAAGAAAATTTATATAAAATGTTTTTAAGATGGTATTTGTCGCCAAGTCGATTAGCTAAGATGTTTCCAAATATGTCAAACGGATGTTGGAAGTGTAAACTTGATGTGGATACCTTTTATCATATGTGGTGGACCTGTGAAATTGTGAAAAAGTATTGGATTAAAATACATAAATGGCTTGAGGAAATGCTACAAAAACCCTTAGCTTTTAAACCTGAAATTTTCTTGTTCAGCATTATACCGGAAAATATTAGCAAACAAGAAATGTATTTGATGCTACATTTAATCACAGTGGTGAGGAATGCGCTTGTTCAATACTGGAAGAGTGAGGAACTACCCACTGAGGAACTGATTTAAAAAAAAATTCTGGACTGTGCAGAAATGGACAAATTGACTCTATTATTGAAGCAGAAAGAAGATACTGACTTCTATCAAACTTGGGACCTTTTTCATGATTGGCTGGAGAAACGGGACTTGGCTTAGATTTAAAGATGTTCTTAAACTTTTATAGATTGATCTGAACTTGATTATAGAATGTTAAAAAGATATGTTGTAGGGGGCTGACCCAGTACGTCCAATGTATCTGATGATTGATGTTTTTAGTTTTTTAGTTTAATTTTTTTTTGAATTTATAAAAAAAAAAAGAAGAAACTGGTATTACATCAACAAATCCACAACTTGCTATATGTTTTCTTTTCTTTGAACGTAGGTCAAAGATCATTAATCTACTTTTTGCCTTGTTCACTAAGCAGCTCACAATCAGCCAGCAAACAACAGCTGCCAGCTGGGCACCTACTTCTTAGGCCAGGAGTGGGGAATGCCTGGCTCCTTAACACTGTTGGACTGCAACTCCCATCAGCCTTAGTCAGCATAGCCAAAGGTGAAAGAGTTCCAGCCCAGGAACATACGTTTGCCCTCCTAGTTTTTTGGCACTGTTGCATTAGCATATGCATTTAACCATAGCATTCATTTCCATAGATTAGGAAAAATATTTATAAGATGTATAGCCACCACTAGAACATGCAACGAAACAGTAAGAACCACAATTAAAACTAACTGATAGAACCAGCCAACAGGTCTGAAAGAAACCAAGCAGTCTATAAGCCAAGCAGTCATGAGGCTGGTACTCCTTCCCAACGAAAGCAATCACTCCAGTTGATACTACAAATGTCTTTATTCTAAGCCGTATTACAATTATAGTCACACAGGCTAGAAAGTTGACCTCTTGTTCTAAGTTCACCAACTATCAATCAGTGTGCCTGTTTCACCTCATCCTTCTGGTAAGGATGTATTGCTGAAGTTCTTCAGGAGGGCTTTCTCTCACTTTCCCTTTCCTCGTTTCCCAGAATCAGGGCTAGCTTATATATACACAAGAAAGAAGAGGAAAACCTATATAAAATCTATAGCAAGGGGCACTGTACTTTGCTTTTACCTTAGAACTGGGGCTGCACAACGTGTCCAAGTAACTAGTGCTCCGGGAGCAACATCAGTCACTCTAGGAAGCCCTGTGACTAAAGGGACGTCTGTGGACATTTCCTTTGCTCGTTTATTGATTCTCTGCTTCCACATTTCATCTCTATTTGCATTCAATAAACTATATATCATCTTAACCAGAGTGGATTTATTTCTTTTCAGTATCCTTGAATCTGAAGTGAGAGGCCTTGGCTGGATCAGGCCCCTAAGGTTAAAATACCTGCCAACATCTCCAATGGAGAAATCAAGTCCACTCAATTGCTGTGAACTTATTTAAAGCTTGTAACAACTACTCACATGAATCAAATTATGGCAAAAATCTGACTGCTATTCAGAACCTTGCATCTTATGGGAGCACAGTTTTTTTGGAACATAATGGTATGTGCAAATGTAGCTGAAAAATTATTGGCACTTAATTCACTCTACTCCTGGTTACTCAAGGGTATGCCAGCCAACATCAGTGGTATGAAATAAATCACATAAGTTACGCAATCTTGCATCACAGCTCCTAGTACATTTGGACAAGGAAATCTGATGTGTATTATTCAATATAGAAGACACCCAAGTATAAATGCAAGGCACACCCTATGACCCTGCCATTTTTTTATGATTGGCTTGCCTGTTACATGAACTCTTTCAAATCCCCATATTATCCAGCATCATGAATTTAAAGGGCAGATTCACTTTAGCTGTAATGTGCTACATAGAAAATCAAAGTGAATATTATTAATAATGTTAATATATCATATATTCTTATATTTACTACATTTCTGCACTGCACAGTGGCCAAAGCTTTCTACACAGTCCACAAAAGTTAAAAACCAAATATACAACATGATATAATATACCAGGTACCAGGTTGAACAAATATCCCTGAAAATTATGCCCACTGATTGCCACTGTACAGAGATATGACTGCTAACACTGAAAAGCCATATACCTCGCATCATTGTTTTCAGTTTGCATAATACATGTAGATCTCACAGTTCTGTTTCCACAGAATTTCAAATTCTTGAGTAAAGCATGTTTGTGTGTGCGTGCTGGGGAGGGGGGGGTGTTTTCAGCATGGAGTACACCCTGCCCAGACAATGTTATGTGTGGTCTGCAGAAGAATCAACATCATTCATATTAAATAGGACTGTTTCTAGTTACTGGAGAAATCTATTAGCAACTAATAATCAAAAAGTATTATTAGTATAGACATTTGCAATTCACATGATGCAGAGTGGTCTTTTAGGCTGCAGCCCTATATCCACTTACCTAGAAGTATACCTCATTAAATTCAATTGGATTACTTTTGACTAGACATGTATCAGATTGCACTGTTCATACTGACAGCTCTTTTCAACAATAATCCCATTGAAGACAGTGGATTGTATTGTGCTGTGAATTGGATTGTAGGGCTATCAGGAATGTGTCAGAGCTGAGGAGTGATTTTAACTAGGTTTCCTACCATAGGTAAAGCCAAAACATCAGTTGTTACACTGCACTGGCTTATCAAACTCTTCCACACAAAATCAGTAATTTGATTTACCAGCATTGGATCCCGTTAGGTTATAACGAGCATTCAGCTTTTTGATGATGTTTTCATGGATCTGATACCAGTCACTCTCAGTGTTACACCTGTAAAAGAAACAAAGTTTTAATATTCAAAAGAGAACACATTCCTTATGTTAACTTTACAAATTTGAAAATTATTTTCAAATATGAAATGCAAGTTAGTATTATATCCTTCCACCTATAAAATGGGAGCATCATCAACTTGCCCCTGATGTTTTGTGGGAATGATTGGAAGAGTTAAAACAGACAACAATTTAGATATGTATATAGCTGTTATGTCTGTTTAAATATATTGTTACTACAGAGTAGGTCTGGGCAGCCAATATGGTGAAGATTCTAGCACAGGAAATCTTTTTTAAAGATCCAGACTAAGTCCCCTGTGCCTAGTCTATTATAAAACATTTTTAAATGCAGCTGTTAGATAAAGTTTTAAGCTAATGTTCTTCTTGGCCCTCAGGTACTTTAGTCAAAGGACTATAAAATGTAGATATGATCAAGGGAAAAATATGTTTGAGGGGACACCCAGCAAACTGCCCTCTGGTGGGCCCGTATCATGCACCATCCACCCGTTCCATCCCTGTAGGCTTGCCTACAGTGGCAGGCAGCAGCATGTGCCCAGTGACCTGCAGCAGCCAGCTGCAGGCCATTCATCCTCTGAATGACCAAGAACATGTTGCTGTGGGTCACTGTTGGAAATGTTAAATGGTGGGTAGTTCATAGCTGCCTGCTGCTGCTCCTAGGAATGGGCATAGGGATCCAGGCCTAATAGGGCTCTGGCTGCTGATGCTGAGTGCAGAACCCCTAAGGATACCACAGGAATGCTTGCTGAGTAGCCTGGTGGACTGGTAAATTTGCAAGTCCCAGGACTCATCATGGCAGTCCTCATAGCCATACCTTCAAAGAGACCCCAAAGTCATGCTGTTCTGATCCACAGCCACAGGGTTTTTGCCAGACTAATGGGATCTTTTTTGCCCATTCCAGACCAAGACACACCAAATACTTGCAATACCACAGGGTGCAAATATGATTGCTGGGAAATTCACTTCCCTGCCAGTGCTACCGCTAAGCCCAGAAGGAAAAGGGAATGCCAAGTGCAGTGGCAACCTTGTTCCTATGAGCCCTGGCTCTTTCTTCATCTGTCAATTCAATTAGAAACTTTCTTCTCAGCTGATTTTCAGGTATCAAAAGACAGTGGCCACTATGTCTTGATTATTTTTAACTAAAGGTCAGAGAAAATTACACTGCCATATAATTTGGCATTTGTTTACTGAAAATCAGAAGTTAAACCAGAAGGAAGCTATCACAACAAATTCCACCAAGGAAACTTGTCAGACATTTTAACTAAAACAATAACATGCTGAAATTCCACAATGCAACCATTCCTTCCAAATTTATTTTTGCTATTTATACGAGAATTCATTTTTTTCATGTGTTGTCTGCTATACAGAGAAAAGAGCACCACTTAAAATTTTTAAAAAACAACACACGTAACGCTTTCAAAGTGAATGCAATTGGCAAGTAAACCTCTTTCCTGCTGGGGAATCCAACAGAGAACACTTTTAACTGAACTGTCAAAAATTAAAGTGAAATAAAAGCCACTCCACTGATGCCCAATCACACTAAATTGTTCCCACAAACATTGCTTCCAGCAGCTATAATTCAACCTGCTGGGGGAAAGAGGCCAGTGAAGGGTGACCTTGAGACACTGAGGTGGTTCCTAATCTAGCTACTGACCCTGAAAGTCAGAAAAGTCCCCAGAAAGTATATAGCAGATAACATCTCAGTCTGTGCCCTTGGTCCTTGTATTATTTCCCAAAATACTGTTACATTTTTAAAGTCCAAAATCAGGAGAGAATTAGATGTGTTTCTTTTTTACAGCTTCCAACAAACTAGCTCAAACATCAACATGTGTTGATCTATCCAGCTGTTCTGAAAGGTAGTAAAGCAAATGCACGAATTGGGAAGATCATCCTGATCCCATACCATCCTCATGTATTTTCTTCACCCTTTATCCCACCCTTCACCCATGCAGGTGGACTTTCTGAAGGGAACAGCGTCCCCTTCCTGTAAGACACTCTCCAGCAGTTTTGCAAGCTGGAAAATCAACTTTCAAAATTGCATGGAGACACTCCTTGGCTAAGGATGTTTTCCACTTCAGAGAGCTGCCTTCCATGTGTAGAGAGAACATCGGGAAATATGGTGCAGCAGGTAGGGCATGTGCACCAGCCATCCTCAAATTTCTTCTATTCACTCAAGAGGCCATCCATTTCAGATTTAACACTGTTTCCATGCTGTCTGCACCTGCATTTAATCTGATGTACCATTTGTTGCACCTATAGTGTAAGAGGCCACCTTGTGTCAGCAAGCGAGTTAGAATTAACCACAGTTTAATGATTCAGATCTAATGCTAAACTGTGGCTAATATAAACTGGAAACAGAAGCTCAGCTGGGCTGCACTGGAAGAACAGCAGAAAGGAACTGGTGGCTTTTTCCAGCTTCTTCTCATAACATTAAGCTGAGGATTAGTATTATGTATGACCCAAATGACGGCATGCTTTATTTCTTGCTCAAGAGAGGTAATATCATTGTGACTGAACACAGCCAGTGCTTGACTGACTGAAAGGACTACTTATTTCACATTAAATATTGCTTTATACCTTTACAGGCTGAGTGACCAGAATGAGAGGAGATTGCTTAAATTTCAGAGCATAAAGGAATGAGAATTTGCATGCACAACTGAATGTAAATATCCTGCAACTGAAGAAAAAAAATCACTGTGTTATATTTCATTGGTAAGATATGAACCACACAACCTTTTCCAGCAACTACATTTTCTTACATGTATACTTTAAGAATAAGGTCATCTTTTGTGTCGCCTGCCATTAGATCTGCTATGCTGAGGACTGCACAACCAAAAGGTCGCCGGTACTGTATGTTGCAAGCATTTTTCTTTTCACCAGCTCCCATTCGGCCTATAAAGCAGAACATAAAACAAGACACATGAGCCACTAAATGTGCATAGGAGGAGGAAGAGGAGGCAACATATCATATCTGCTGACATCTGTTGTTAATTGAATACTTTTATTGGATTATAAGCGGATAAATCTACTTAAGAACCCTTTCAGCCTCCGCCCAAAGTGCTTTCATTAAACCTCACAAGGACAGAGCACTCTAACATCATTTGCCTTGTCCAAGTAGCAACCATTTCCTGTAGGCTCCTCCAATAATGACATCAAGATAAAGTAACTCTTGCTAGATGGAAGGTCCCATGCTGAACACACTCCTGGCAGACATTTCTGTTTCCATACCTGGAATCGATGTTTTAGAGATCTCTTTTTTCTCCTAGAAAACCCATTTGAGGAAACAAGGAGTGCCAAATTATTTCCCTTTTGGATTCCCTGCAATCTGTGTGGGTCTAGAGATCAGGCAGCTCACATGTCTTTGGAATCTGTTTTTTTCTCAGAGCGGTCTCTGCCACCTATTGGAGCTATCCATGGTGCTGAACCTCACTGCTGTCTGTGGCACTTACTGTGCTGCTAGACGCCACCTTCCTCCTTCAACCTGACTGCACATTAACTGCACTTACTAACTCTTGTTGTCTCTGCCACTTTGACTTTCAGTCCCTGACTAGCTCGTATCTGCAGGTTTCATGTCCCAGTTGGAACATGAGAATGTGTAAGATATAAGGTGAAGTGCAAACAAATTAAAATGGGGTGGAAAAAAGATTCTTAGGACAACAAATGAGAATTTTTGTTTTAAAACATGTGGAGACATATGCTGATTTTCATCCACATGGTGCCAAAGATTACATTTCCAATTTCATTGCTACTGCTTTGACAAATTTTAGCAGCTTTTGCACTCCCCAATCCTCTCTCCCTCTTCACAATCCACATGAGCTATAAGTTTAATTTATGTGGTGACAAAAGGCACATAACTCCTGACAATCTACACCCTTGCTTGCTTCTTTTGCCTGTCACATCTTCTTTGTGTTAAAATATGTTGTGCTGCCTGTCCTTAAAAATTGCACTGGGGTCTGACTGTGGTGAAATGAAAAAACAAGACAAAAACACCACAGAGTCTTTTCTAGTCTTCGCAAGATCAGGGACTATAGACAGCTGAGCAAATGCAACTCAAACAGAAAATGTAGTGAACAGAATACTAACTCTGCCATTTGACATTCATAGCTAACATCTCTAGAATTTTAAATTGCAATCAAATGTGAATTCACACAGGTTTTTTCCTACTGCAAGGTGACTTTCCTGCAGCTGTCTCATTATGATGATCCATGAAGACCATCATAGTGTTGCAAAAAGTTAACATGTGATCTAATCAGTAGAAATTATTATTCTTTTTTTCATCTTAAACTATGTGTGTTGGTGCACTATCATACTGCAAGCTGACCCATTCAAAACACCAGGATCCAGATGGATTTCCACAGCAAGCTAACTAGTAAAAAGGACCTTATGATGGATAAAGGCCGCCCTGAGGCTTCGGCGAATGGGGGCGGCATAAAAATGTTTTAATAAATAAATAAATAAATAAATAAATAAATAAATAAATAAATAAATAAAATGACTGGGTGGACCTATATGGACATTATTTCTTCACATAATCACATAATATTAGATTTGGAAGGGGAATAGAAGGTCATCTGGTCCCACTACTTGCTAGCACAGGACACAAAGTTACATCACCCTTCTTGTCAAAGGGTTGTTGCTTTTATCCACTGCAATGTATGTCAGATTGAGTTAGACAAATGTACCCAGCAAGGTTTTTGCATTACTGGTAATTCGGACATGTGGCTCCTTTCCCTACATCCAATACCTGGGGCTCTACCCCAGTAGAATTGGATCTACTGGTGAACCTCTGAGTGATTTGAAGTTGATAAACTCCCATTGTTTAAACAATAGCATCGACAAGATGGACCCCCAATCCCAAAGTATACCGTTGAAATGAAGAAAACTTTGGATAACCAAGAATGAGCTTTTCCAGGAAAGAAATCCAATGATTGTTTACTTTTGATATTCAAAAGAGATTTCCGGACACTGAATTGTTTAACTGTAAGTGAATACCTGTTGCATCAGGCTCTGGTCAGTGGATCTCAGAGTTCAAGAGGAAAAAAAGATCCTGCCCAGCTCTAAACCACACTGGAACTCTAAGTTAGTAGAGGATGGCATGAACAGGAGCAGTAGTGGAGTTTGTAATGCGTTAGTGAGTTAGGGGCCATCAATTCTGATCTCAACACTGAAATTTAGCATCATCACTGTTCTATGGCTAGATCCCATATCATACAACAGAGTGATTCTTTGTCTATCACTCTTGTTTCAAACATTGTTCTGCGTCACGCAGATTTGCCATTTTTTAACCATTCTTTGTCTGACTTTCAAATGTTCAGAGGAGCAATCCAGCATAATAACGGGAGGAAAGATTTTGCTTGCAGTTCTGAAGTTGTCACAACACTTTCTCACAGACATTCTATACTGGGGTAGGCAATCTGTTTCTTTTGGACAATAACCCCTTGTAGCCTTAGAATAAAGAAAGAAACTATAATACTGGTTAAAAGGGAACTAATGTTACTTCTTTGTCATCTGCTAAACTAACACAATTTGCAGTATAAGCAATTACCAAGTACAACGATAATATATGCACTACAGCAGTCAGGAAAAAATGAAGGTATAGATTCAGCATTCTTTGGAGGAAGGCTTAAAAATGCTGTTACAGCTTTAAAGTCCAAACTACCTAGCTGCTAAAGAGTGGAGGAAGGGGAGAAATACCACTAGTGGATGACAGGTAAGGATGATTTCAGTTAACTCAAGAAAGTTCACAAGATAGCTTTTTTTAAATGAGATAACCACTCTGGTCTTCTATGCTACTTCCACATTGTCTTTGGATTATTATTTATCTAGACTAACATTAGCCACTAGTAGAACTGTTTCAGGAAGGGAATAACTCATCCATGCTTGTATGCAAGCACATGCATGTACTGTACATGCAAACATACATGAAAGTCTAATGTTATGAGGAAATGACAGAAACAAATGAAAGATAATTTTAGCACTTGTGGCAGGTAAACAAGACAACAGCTGGCTCTTTAGAGGCAAAGGAATCCAGATTTCCCATACCTACTTAAAAAGTCTGGTTTTGCCTTGGCCCCACACTTCCTCAGCAGGTCACAGAAACAAACCCCACCCCATCCCTCTCTCTATACATGGCCTGAAATCAATGTACAGAAATAGCTTATTCATGTGGTCATAAAGCTGCTGTTTGCAGTGTCATTTCAGGCTGCAGGTAAAGAGTGAATATTCAAATGTTCTCCCATGAGAAAAAGAGCTATGTACACAGAAGAAAGCAACTAGCGTGCTACAGAGCACAGATTAGACTCTTCCTCTCAGAAAAGGAAGGGGGAAATTTCAATTCTGCTGCCACCCCTCTGCTGCTCTGTTGCTCTCATGAAGCACATGCTACAGAAAGTAACATTTCCGAAAGAAACCCTGGAAATGGGTGGAATGGGACAGGTAGTGGAGCTCTGCTAATTTGTGCCCTTCAGACACAAATGCTTCTGTTCATTTTCAATGAACTCCTAGGTTCAACTCCTGCTCGCAAGTTACCTGGTGGTTTTATTTTGGGATGCTGCATTCCTTGTTGATTGTATTCTAAAAATGATACTGAAAGATTTTAAACCAAAAAATGTTATATAAAGACCTTAAAATAAACAATAAAGGGTTGTTGTTTTAAAAAACAACAATATGGAACAACTCACTGATCTACATGCACTCCAACTTAAGTCCCACCAGGCCTAATTTTTTTCGATACCGACTTTTAGGAGCTATTAATATTTTAAAAGGAAGGCAGCCTAAGCACTAACTGGTGACCTCAACATTTTAACAGTAAGAAGAATAATTATTATAAATGCGAATATATTGTGCCTGCCCTTATACAATTACCTAACAAACCCCTAAAAGAAAGGTTTTGGGAAAGGACGATGCATACCAATGCGTATAACATGCACAGTGATATAGATGTCCTTCCTGAGCTCACTGCTTCCCAAATCCTGTAAAGAAAGAACAATAGGGTCAAGTCATCATGTGAAACTTTGATTGCATATATCAACATAGTCATAACTTAGGATTTCTAAATGTGCTTCTTTCCAGGTCTCTGATCACCTATTTAAAGAGAGGGGGGAGGGGTGGTTTTGATATTTTTGATATATAACCTCACAATCCTATGCATGTTTATTCAGCATGATATCAAAAACATTAAAAGAAACTTAGCAATGAGACCATTATGACAGCAGAACCAATTCCCACGTAGGCAGGGCTCTACTTCACTTGATGCTCTTCAAGCATTGGGCAGCTATCTGTTGGGGTGCTCAAGGTCTGAATTCCATGCAGTGAATGCACTGTTTTACCTGCCTGTCTCCAACTTATGATTCTACCTGAGATAAGTACCACTGCAGCCAGTGGAGCTTATTCTCCAGTGTGTGTTTCAGATTGCAGGCTGAACATGAAAGAGTAATGCCTGAAAGAGTTGAGTTAAATGCTAAGTCCAGCAGTACTATCAGCTCTGTCTAGGATTTTGAAACCAGATCACAACCTATTCTATTAAGTTTGAATAATTACTATATGTCAAGTCCTGCTTTCTAGAACATGAAGATTCCCCCTAGGAAGAGTAAAAGGGAGTCAGTCACACTATATTTTTTCCTCAGTAAGTCCCAGTGAAATGAAATAATATCTGCTTCTTAAAATGCAGCACTGGGTAGTATCCAGCCTTGTAATTATAACAGCACAAGTGACATTGCGTTAGTGGAAACTAGGTTCTGAACTGTACAAAAGAGAATCCATCCAATATCACATTTCTGCAACTATCATTGCACAAGCAATTGCACAGTCTGTTGTGCATAACTCTTGTGCAATCTATTTTACAATTGCTTGTGAACTTGCATAACCCACTGTGTGACCAGCTGTTCCACCAAATGAGCAAAACCTCATGGTAAAGATTTAATGTCCACAAACATGATTGGAATCTGCCGAATGATACCACTAGACATTGCATCTATTGCCTAAAAAGAAAGTTGCACTGAAATTTTGAACAACCCATATTTAATTGTAAGAGTTTATTTTGATACTAAAACCAAAATACAGTTCAGAAACACATGGTGAAGCCATCCAGGTGCCCAACATACCTGCGTGATGCAACTACTTATACCCAATGGAGATATATTAAACAAAATAGATGCTAAGTCTGCACCATTATGTTGGTTTCATTCTTATATACTTCTCTTGGATATTAAAATTAGGTTTTTCCTCTGTTTATTTCCATTTCTATGCCACCCCATAACCCAAAGGTTCTCTCTGTTCCCTGCAACTGGGATGCTTGTGAGGAGTTAATCCCATAACAAAGTCTTCATTTTATGAAGTTATCAGATAAAAACAAATAAATAAACAAATGAAATGACTTACCACAAAGAGGGAACAATGTCTTTCTGGCTTTTCTGGACATTTTGGCAAGCCGTTCCGATTCAGTTTTAAGAAGAATCTCTCACTATAAAAAAGAAAAGTAATATAGTACAAATAGGCAACTTTACAGCAATGTAGATATTTTGACACATCTGAAGAGAAAAATGTACAACAGATTTGAATAGACAACACTGTTACCATTGTTCCTAAATCAGGACTTTTCAAGATCCCAAGCTGTTGCTTCAAAATAAATAATAATTAATCCATTTAACATAGGAAGTGTAACCTTCTTGAGTTATGGCAAAAGACAGACAATTTCAGGCAAAAAATGCAGAATTCCATGAGAATGGGATAATGGTTGAAAGAGATTTTGTCTTTAAATCAAAGCCAGATGGCTTATTCAAGGAGATTCACTACAAGGAGCAGCATTTTCCTCATAACAAAAACATTATGCAACTTTTGTTACTGAAGTTATGAATACATATAGGATCATAGGGGTCACAATGCAGTCATCAAGTTTACTGGCAAAAAACCAATAAACTCTTAAGTGTTCAGACAACAGCAACACAAATTAGGAAAGCACATTACAGAACAACCTAAGTGCCATGCTGGACCTGTACCAAACTCTGATCTAGTCCAGCATTCTCTTCCACCAGTAGCCAAATAAATGCCTCTGGGAACCCCAAAAGCAGACACAAGAACAGCAGCACATTTCTAGGCTTTAGCATAGAAACACATGTCTCTCTCCAAATGTCTCTGACCAGAAAGAATTGAACCCCACTGGTTCTCTCCATTGCACCAGGTTTCTATTATGCCCACTATCAATACTTCCAGAGGGCCTTAATTGCACTAACCCACTGTCCCGTTCAGGACGTTTTAGGGAAGGATCCAGATGCACTGTTTTCCACTAATACCCTTCCCAAATTTTCCCTTTTCCTCCTTGTAAAAAACCTATCAAGAACTAATAGGGAAAATAGTTGCACAATCCTAATTAGTGGCTCCAGAAACCCTCTATTTGTGAAGTGCCATATATCTGTTTCTTCCATGAAAACCAAGAAGAAATTACCACTATTCTCACTTGGAAGTGTTGTTGGGTTTTCCCAGTAGGAAGAAGAAAAATTGTAATATAAGAGTAATAATAATAATAATAATGAAAAACCAACAGAGTAAAAAGAAATAGTATAGTATAGATTGTATAGTACTAGCAATTGGATCTGGATTCTTATGGGTCAGAATAGCTCACAGTTTAATGCAGACAGGATTGCTGGCACCCCAAGGCCTAGTTCCTGCCATGACTGCTGGCACTCCTAGAGCCCCCAGTGGTAGAGACTGTCCAGTGCATTCCTTTGAATAGCAAAGGGAAACCTATGTGATTCTATCCCTTGGCCTACTAATCTTCCCTGACTTCAAACTGTAAGGTATGTGCTTCCTCCATGGCTGAAAATGTCACCATAGGCTTCTACTCGTTTAGACACATCTAAATTAATTGGGGTACAACTGGAGCTGAGGGTGGTGGAGGCTATCTTTGCCTCCTACTCCTCTCCTTAGCTAGACAGCTGTCTGGCAATACTGTTTCAGAGGAAGGGGGGAAGAGATTGGAAAGGTTGCAGGATACTCAGTGTCTTGGTTACCCCCGTCTTCTCCCTTCCTCCTCAAGCACTCCCTTTACTCCTCTCCAAGATCTCTTTTTTGCATTCATTTCCAACATGGTTTTATCCAAGCCAGTTGTGAGGAGCAGATCAAGGCTCTGGTTGCTAGCTCCAAGGTCAGAGTGCTTCAGAACTAGGAGTCCAAACTATCTTGGGGATGCTGTCTTGGGGTCATTGGATTGTTCCCTCAATGCACTAAAAAACAGAATATCCCCAAGCTGGACATGCTTACGTGTCCCAAGTACATACTACACTGAAGACGCCTTTCACAAATATGGCACGATGACACAGATGGACAGAAAGGCAGAAACACATCCTTTTTTATTACACAGATTGTATGGTAATAACACACAGTGTTATACAGTGAGAAAAAGAGAAATGATGAGGGCCATTAACCAGGTTGCCTCAGGGCAGGCTACCTGCAACACTCAGTCCTAGCCAGCTTGTCCTCAAATGTTGCTTTACAAAACACAGTCATGGAAGTTCCAAATTAAATTGCAAGAGTGGTGTGGAAAAAAGTAGGGATGGCTCTTTGCCACTTCCCCATATGCTGCCTTTCAGCTAAGAATTGCCTAAGCTGAATGGGGAAAAGAAATGGAAACCAGCAAGCTTTCCTTGCAGGGCACGAAGTACCTGGCAATGAATCATTTTGATCAGGGGAAAAATGGCACAATGAGAAAGTTTGCAGCTTCTACAATTATAGCTGAGTGGGGGGGGGGGGAGTGAGAAACAAATTATGTGGACTGAGTATCACACGTCATTTGTCTCCCATTCGGCAACTTTGCAATCAATGGCAACAGTTCTTAGACACTGCCCTCTAATTTTAGCTGCTGCCATGGCAGACAATGCTGGTTGGATTTAAACCAGAAGTCTGAGAAGGAGCAGGTTCCATGTTTTGTGCTTTTCCATTCTCTTATTGTGAAACTCCACCATAAAGAAGAGACTGCTCTGCACATTCCTTTTTTAACTAAAGCTTTCTCAGCTGTTTCTTTGGCTTTTGCGATTGCCACACATATGTCCTCTTCCATATGCAACAGTAAAAATAGCAGCCAGGACATCTATGCACGTCTGTGAAGAGGCGCAACTGAAGAGCTAATATTAACGGCTGGAAGACAGAACAGCCTTTCATTAAGATTGCATTCTTGTGGGCTACACTGTTACAAAATGTTTGACCTGCTTCTATTCCACTCAGGAAATTCACAGGCATTAGAAAGACTCGCAATGCTGATCATTTCGAACAAGCTGCAAGTGACCCACCTAAATTTCTAATTTGGAGGTGGTGCCAGCTGTCAGAATCTGGCAGACCCCAGCAGTAAGGTGTTTGGGGGCAAAGGAGAAGAGGCTGATGGGCCCAGGTTAGCAAAAGTCATATTCTCTAAACAGCAACCAAAGATCAGAAGGACTAGAAGCAGAAAGCATAATTCAGGGCAGGCAGACTAGCTGAACTATTTAACTAGCAGCGGGTGTGTCTATTGGTGGGGCGGGCGGACAAGATCATCAACCAGCAGGATCCTCCCACTGTGAGAAAGTTGCTTGGACTGATGAGTGCCAGGCCTGAAGGGTCCCTGAGTAAACTGCGTTCTGTGTGGTGCCCACCCTTGCACTGTTGGTGGTACTTGCAAGCTTACCTGGCAGCAGTGGGGCCCAGCTACAACACTCCAATGGGCATAGGGTAGATGGATCCAGTTGCCATTTTATTTTCCTACCATGCCTCAAGGCAATACTACACTAGGGGCATGGCGGGAAATTAAAATGACAAATCTGGAAGTTGCCCAAGGATGACCACTGCTGACACTGGTCCTGGCAGACATGAGACTGGGTTTTACAGACCCTGGCCAATAGACGGATCCTTCAGCTACGCTGGCTGAAAGCTCCAGGACTGGTACTTCAGCCTAATTGGCATCACTGAAGAACCTGGTCTGCCCAGCTTGTGCAGAAATGTGGCATTGGTGACACCGAAAGGAAAGCACCAATCCTGGCTGTGATCATCTACTTCAGCCTTCACAGCCATAATACATGAACACCAAGCATTTATTTACTCATGGAACAATCTTTGAAAAGCATTTGGAAACTTAAGTTGGTAAACGATTTGGCCCTGGGTTGCTAACTGGTACCTGGACTCATAATCATATCAGTCCACTACTGGAAGATCTGTACTTGTTGCCAACCATTTTCCAGGATCAATTCAAGCTGTTGGTTTCAACCTTTAAAATTCTAAATAGCTCAAGGCCTGGCTATCTGAGGAACTGCCTATCTCATATACACCTGTTCAGTCACTTTAGGAGGGGTCCTTTTGAAAGTACCCTTGGCTTACAGAGATTGTGCATCGTCTGTCACTACCACACCATAGACTGTAGGAAGCTGACGGAGTGTAATTTGGTTTTTAAAGATGTACAGTCTGAAGGTTGCTTTTAACATATTGTACTGCGAGGTTTTTGTTTGAGATACTTGTTTTCTTATCCAAATTTTTGCAACCCTAACCCTCAACTGATTTCAGAAAGGCAATAGAAAGATAGATCGAGGAAGGGATGGACGAATGCTCGAAGACTAACTTTTGTTAAACAGTTTTATTTTTCTAAAAGAAAAAGCACTTGGATTTTCTTTCAGAAATCTGCACAATGTCACCCAGAGGCTAGTTGACTCCTCACTGACAAGCTGGACTGCTGTGGTGGAACTCGAAGCACAGTAATCACAGAGTGGGACAGAAAGTGTGAAAGATAACTGATCTGGCCAAACACCAAGTTTTCTAAAGGTGATGCTTGAAAGAGCAAATAATGGTGTACATGTACAATTGAGTCACAAAAGGCCTAAAATCTACTACAATGGAAAGGACTTCCATACGTATTCAATGTCACTTCAAACATGTTTCCAATAGAATCAGTTTGGGCAGTGTAGTTTAATCCAGATGCTTAAACCAGCTCTATCACCCATGTGCTTCACCTTCCAACTGACAGAACTTTTCTATACAAGAAATGTATTGGACACTCATCAATTCTTATTCACAGTTTCTTGCAGTTTCTTTAGGTGATACCATGACCCACCAGTTTTGCCTGTTTTTAAAGAGCACATACATGTATAGACACATGCTCACTGTTTTGTTCTGTTGCAAAGTTGGAAAAATGAAGCATAATTTCTGAAAGCAAAAGGAAATGTATTGTCCTATTTGTGTAATCATTCTAATTTGATATATACATTCTAATTGTGTAATCATAAAGAGGTTATATAGCAGAACAGCAGAAAAGGTAAGGCTCTGATTGCAATTCTGCAATGAAATTGTACAATGTACAAAAGCTTGTAATATCTTGTTCCAGCTTGCCTGTTGAGACTGAATAGATTATCCAACTGTGACAAGAGTGGGAACCATTTTTCACCTACAAACCACATTAAAACCAGACCAGGGCAACAGTATATGGAGCAACCACTCAAAGTAGATGGA